AAATCATGGAAGAATCATTGAAGAATTAGCCGTACCATGGCAAAATTCACTTTTAGCAGTCAGTACAAGATTAACGTCACTTGTCTACAAGCCTATGACTGTCAAAATTACTTAAAGTATAAATACGGTGAAGACCGCTGATGAAGGAAACACACATACACACATACAGATTCATTTGGCCAACATGATAATACACGTCTAGTAAAATATAAGCAGTGAAGGCGAAACAAGATTAGCTCGGAAAGCACAATGATCGGCGGAGGTTAGACTGAGCAAAAATTGGTAGGTACACGAAGTGAAGTGGATAAGGAAGTGCGAAAGAGATTGAGAAAACTGTGGGAAACATTTCCCGCACAAAAACAATGATAAGTCATTCATCTCTTGGAGAAAAAAGGAAAAAAAGTGGAAACTTCGATGCGCCCATGGAAAGCAAGTTGACTTTTTAAATGACTTAACTGCATCAGAGAGATCAAGCGATAAAAAATGCAAGAAAATAATGAGAATAAATCGGTGCATAAGAAACTTGAAAAATTTGTAAAATAAGTGATATCTCCGCCATCAGCTTGCTTTTAAGCAACTCTCAAATGAGAGCTTTTGGCAAGTGCTATCCTCGGAAATGTATCAAAAGTAAATATGAAGAGAATTTTGAGGTAATCTCTTATCGGAAGTAAGTATAGAGAGAATTTTGAGGTTATCTCTTATCAAAAAGAAATATGAAAAGAATTTTGAGGCAATCTCTTATCAAAAAGAAATATGAAGAGAATTTTGAGGCAATCTCTTATCAAAAATAAATATGAAGAGGATTCTGAGGTGATATTTAACGAGGAGCTTACAACAGCTCATAAAAATTTTTAAGAAATTTAAAAAAGTGCAAATAAATCCTAAATATACGAATAAAAAAAATGGGAATTTCAATCCAGAGACGTAAAAAGCTCAACAAAACAGATGTGGCACGTGAAAAACGTGAAAATTAAGTATCGGTAATATCATCAACAGTTAAACAGT